CGAAAACTTCTTGCAGTCCAAAAATACGCAGTCATCCACCCCTCTCTCTTTGTTTACTTTGTCCCCTTGTCATAAAACTTAGTAGGTTGTGACACAGGATTTTCCTTCCCTAAAAACCGTGCTGGTTGTCAATTATCACTTGTTTTTTTTCCAGGTGCCCCCCCACTCTCCCCCTGATGATTTTCCCATGACCTTGCATCTTACAGTTGAGTTAGGGGCCTGTAGTTTAGTGCCTATGTCTGTTCCCTTTTTAAAAATTGGGATACATTTGCTTTTCCATACCTCGGAGTTGCCCATTTAAATGATGTGTTGAAGATCTTTGTTAATGGCCAACAATATCTCGCTCCCTCTTTTAAGGCCCCATGGAGGATTTTGTTGGTCCCCCTTTGGGTTTGTCAAGTTCGCTAGCAGCTTCTTCACCCCCTCCTTGGTTTATAGTACCCATCCAGCACTTGCGGTGTGCCCCCTGTTTGATTTTTTGGTTCCCTACTGGTTTCCCACTGTAAATCCCTTCTTTAAATTTGTTTTGAGTCCGAATCCCTCTCGGTCGTTTCTTGTAAATTCCCCCATCCCCCTTTCCTCAGTTGATTCCCTGGTTTTTGATTTTGTTTTCCCCCTGATGTGGCTGCAACGTTCGGGTTCAGTCTTTATTTTGATGTATGTCTTTTCATATTGTCCTGGCTCCCTTTTATCGGGCAATTCGTTTCTGGCCTCGGCTGTTTCTTTTTTTTCCCTGAGTTTCTGTCTTCTGTCCCTTTTCCATTCTCTATTACCCCTATTTTTTTGCCCCCCTACACCTTTGGGGGTGAACCAAAGGACTCGTTCTTTCTTCCCATTTTTTTTGTTTCCCTTGGGAAAAAACCTCCCCTCTGCCTCCTTGATTTTTTTGTACATAGTCCATATTTTTGTACGGGTTTTCCGTCATTTCCCCTCTCCCATGAATGTTTTGAAGGAGTTCCCATGCCTGAGTATTTCCCCTTTTGTAGTTTGGTTTTTTCCCACCCTTTTCCCTGCTTCTCTCCACTTGGAGCTCAATATGTGTCGAAGCACAGAACCACATGATCACTAGCCCCCGGGGGCCTTTCATAAATGATCCCCTCGATGCCGAATACCATGGTGAAAAAAAGGGCCCAACCTTGCGGTTCATCCTTCCTCTCTCTCTGGTAGGTCTCTAACATGTTGATCATGGGTTCCCCCAACCACATCATCATCTTGGTCTCCATGTTTGGGGCCCCCCATGGGGCCCCAGGTTTTCCCAGTCAATTCCTTTTGTGATTAAAATCCCCCCAAAACTAGTAACTTTGTCCCCCCATTGTGCTCTCCTGGCCCCCCTCGGCTAGTGTGTTGATCTTTGCTTGTTCCCTTCATCGATTCTTTCTTGGCCCCCGCGTTCTTGGGGGGTTTGTACATTACTGCAATTATACTTTGTCCCTCGCTGGTTGTTCTATAAGTGCCCCTTTTCCCCCTCCCATCCATTCCCCTTTTCTCAAAACCCCACGGTTTTTAATGAGCGTGCAACTCCTCCTCCCCCTCCTCCCTCTGTTTTTCTGAAGATTTGTTTCCCGGATGGAAGATTGAATCTGTTATTTTTTGGTGGTTTTTTTCTGTGAGTGCATTATGTTGGGGATGTCTCTTGATTCTTTGTGCATCCCTTACTTGTTTGTTTTCCATCTGCTTTGTATACCACCCCTTAACTTCTTTTCTGAGACTGTAGTCGGGAAGTATATGGGGTTTGGGGGAGGGGGAGCCGGTAAGGAACTTGGGTTGTTTTGTGGGGGTGAAGTTTGAAATGTAGTGGGGGGGGGTTGGATGTGGCATGGGTGTTTTGATTTAGAGTTTTTGGGTTTGCACGGGGGTTGACCTGGTTGGGGGCTTCTATAGAAGTTGTGAGGGAGGCTGTATTGATCTTTTTCCCTGGGTCTGGGATCTCCTGTCTGTTTTCTCCATCCCTCTCTTTCCTCCTTTCGTTTTTTTCCTCTCTCTCAGTTTCTTCCTTTTTCTTGTGTTTGTCGCAGTCGAGAACCCCCTCCTGTATGCCGTCATGTCCTTAATCGTGTTTCTCCTGAGTACCCGGGCCCGAGTTCTTCTGCCTTGAAGGTCCTCTCACTGGCCGGGTTTTTTTTTTTCAAACCCCCCTTTTCCGAAAAATTTTTCCCAGTGGGTAATATGTCTTTCCTATTGTTTTCATGATGCTTTCAATTGTTTTTTTTTTTCCCCTTGTTTTTTGCTTATATTTTTCCCCCTTCGTTCCCTGGGCCCATACAAAAGTGCCCTCACCCCTTTATTCTCCCATCCCATTCCCTGTGTATCCCTTTTTAAATTTGGGTTTTTCCCCCACTGCGCTTTCCTTTCATCAGTTTCATGGCTAATGTATTTGGGGCTCAGGGGCCTGTCTTTTTCCCCTTCTCGGTTTTCCCTGGGCTTGTTGTTGTCTGTTAGGGCCCCCCCATAAAGCTTAGCTCTTTCTTTGCTACAGTCTCCCTGATAGGTTCCCTGCAGT